CAACGTGCCGCGGACGGCTGCGCTTCGTAACCGCGTTTTCGCGTTATAGTATTATCGCGTTATCGCGTTTTCGCGTTTTCAAAATCCCAATTTCGTTTTTGTCAACGAGTCTCTCCTTCCGACGCCAACTAACTGGGATGTTTCATCGAGTCGTTGCTTTGCGACGTACTCGCGCCTTGTGCAACGTGGCACTTGGTGATGCCGGCCGCGCAGAACGTATGTCCAGTACAAAATGTACATGGGCGCGCGGGTTCGATGCTTCGCGCTCGATCGGCTTAGTGATGAACACGCTCTGCTTCGTCAATTGATTTGGCCCGAATCGGTTAGAACTCGATCGATTGTTCGAAATGATCGTCAATGGGTCCCTTCTCTTTGCTCGTCTACCTTACAGCCACACGCCTAGCGTGTGTTAACCCTGTCGAGGAGTCGAGTGGATTCCCTTAGGCACAATTTTCGCTCGGTAAAAGGGGTTGCCTCCCCATTTTCTAAATTGCTGAATGTTAGCTTTTAAAAAATGTGGGTATCCTCTTCTTTTACCGTCTATCAGCCTTGTGTACTGCGCTAGTGATATAGCATCCGTGCGGGTCACTTGAAATCGTGCTTAGCGGGTCCAGGTTCGATATGAGATAGGATAATTATGCGCGAAAAAGAGCTGGTGAACTTTATTTTCCTCTATTCCGTCAATCGTTTCGTCTTCTTTCCGGTTCGGGCCTAATCTTTGCTCGTTGTAACGTTGCATTCCCGACCTGTTGGCTCGAATTTGATTCTCGCGAAATGAAATGGGATTTTCGCTCGTACCGAAACCGGGAGTGCCGTACACAGTATATATGTATTAAATATATACATCGCGCGACCAAATTTTTAATCCGAATACCGAAGTAGTGCGGGAGTGCCGTTTAGTATCGCGCGTAAAATAACGAAAATAGCGATATAAAAATATCGCTCGTGAGTGCGGGAGTGCCGTTGAAAGTATCGCGCGTCAACAACTTGAGAGGAGGAGGAGGCCTGGGAGAGGCATCTTGCATCGGCGGAGCAACCTGATGGTGAATATTTATTATTTGTATATCAATTGTTATAAATCGTACGCATAATAATTCGATCTTATTATTTAAATGAATTAAAGAGAAAATTAGAGAGAAAGATTTTTATAAAAGTTATATAAAACTTTTTAAAAAACTTTCTTAAAAAACAGTTTTAAAATTTTATAAAAATTTTCCACACGTGTTTATCTCTGCTTATTATTTTACACATCGGATATAAAATTCCGCGCGATAAAAATTTTTTGAAATATTGATTGCATTTTGTGAGCATTAATATAAATGAATTTTATATTTGTATGTTACAGACAACTAGCTTCGATAACAACAACTCCGCTGTTGCGCATCAGTGCCGGTGAGTGAGAAAAACTTTTATTTAACTTTAAGGTAACGGATTCGTAGAGATTGTAAATGTAGATTGTAGATTGTAGATTGTAGATTGTAGATTGTAGATTGTAGATTGTAGATTGTGAATTGTAGAGTAAGTCCGTTGCCTTAAAATGGATGAGCTAGGATAGATTAAATTAAATAACTTTGAATAAATTCTTTCGAAATGCTTTGCATCTATTGCGAAAATATATTGAAGTATTAATTTAAAAAAGAGAATCAAGAAAAGAAAATTTTTTTTGTAAAGACTTGACTAGTTTATTAAATCAAGAGCACGCATTAATAATTTTAACAATTCTATCAATTTTTGATACTACTTTATTCTTATAACGCGCACTTATTTTATTCTAATTTCTTATATCATAGCTCATCCATTGTAAAATTTGTTTGTAGATATTGTTTTTAAATTTTACTTTAACTTAAAATAAAGCCAAACGATTAATTAATTAAATAATTTGTAATATCATAAAAGTTATACACATACATGAATTTTATATTTTATTAGAAAATATAGTATATAGAAATTTGTAGTAATTTGGCTTTATTTGAGTTAAAATAAAGTTATATTCAAATATTTAAGAAACGATCGTAAAATCGAGCGATCGTTACGATGAGCGTGAAATATTTACGCTCATTTGCCGGTAATTAATCGGCAAAAGAAGGAGTGTTTATCTCCTTTTTCGATCTCTGATTAGAGATCGAGCGAGAAAGTGGCCAGGCTCAACGAAAAGTAAGTTCAACTGGCCTGAAGAAAAGCTTTACGTACAATAGTACGTAAGCCGTGTCGGACATTTATTCACGCGGTTAGGGCATGCGGTTAGAGAATGTAATCAGGGCACATAATTAAAATATACGTGATTAGAGATAGGCTTTCCTCGAATAATTTCACTTAATCGAGAAATAGGATTGTTAGGGCTATTAGGTGATCATTAGGTTTTTTTCCTTTTAAATTCCTTTCTATTATGTCATGCTATTAGGTCATCATTAGGTATTCCTTTCTATTATGCCATGCTATTAGGTCATCATTAGGTTTTTTTCCTTTCAATTTTTCTTTCAAAAAGTAGAGGATTGTTAGTGCTATTATATGATTAATTTAGCTGATTTTATATTATGTATCTTTTTAGGAATCAGGAAATGTAGGTTTAAATAATATTAGGGAAAACAAATTAATAATAATTTCAATAATTATATTATTAATATTAAGAATTTTTAAGGGATCAATATTTTTTAAGTGTTTTTTTATAGGTATTTTATTTATATAAGGATGAAAATTAAATTGTTAACACTCATTAATTTGTATAGTAATACGAATTTTTTTGCGAAATTTTGTGTACTTATGTAATACGAAATTTATGTACTTTTATGTAATACGAAATTTCATATGAAAAATTTAAAATATAAATTTATATATTAAGCTATTTTTTAGTAATATGAATAATAAATTTCGTATATTTATGAATTTATAAGTTATTTTTAAATATAGAAATTGAAAGATTTAAAATAGAATTAAGAATGAGTAGATATTAAAGAATGAATAGAATTTATGGAAAAAGATTTATTATTAAAATTCCAAAAAAAATTTTGATTTAAATAATATTTATAAATAATAATTTTTCGAAAATTTATATATTCATTAATTTATATATTTATGGTTTTAGTTTAAATAATAATTTTTAGAAAATTTATATATTTATATACTTATATATACATTTAAGGTTTTAGTTTAAATAATAATTTTTATATAAAATTTATATGTTTATTTTCTTATATATAGATGCTTGTGTATTTATGTATTTAAAATTTTAATTTAAATAATAATTTTTATAAAATTTATATATTTATATATATATTTTGAGATATATATAATTTTATTAATTGTATTTCATTAATTTTATTTATATAAATTTATCTAAACAGCTTATATTAAAGTTTAATATCGAAGATATTAAGAAAATTATTTTTTTCAGATATTTGTGAATATATATTGAATGTATATAATATTGAATATAGTGAATATTATGAATATTATGACATATAATAGGATAGTAGTTTGTTAGGACTACTCCATATAATGCTCCTTATGCACATGGTTCCGGGGACTTGCGCGACTTGGAAGACTAAGGAAAGGCGCGTGGGGTTTTTAGTTGGTAGTCCCTGCCGTTAAAATGGCGGCGGGGAGAGCCCAACACTACCCCGACGGGACCGCTAAATAGGTCCTATTTAGGACCTATTTAGCGGTCCCGTCGGGGTGTGCATAAGGAGCATTTTCCCCACGTAAAAAAAAAAAAAAAAAAATTGTTAAATTATGTTGTATTACATTTCAAATTATATTATATTTTAATAATGAATTTCAACAATGAATAACATAATATCCAACATAAACAATACCGTGCCAATGATTTTGTTTACGGTCTTGTTATGCAAATTTAAATTTATATATTATATTGCAAAATAAATGCTGCAATTGTATATATTATATTATATATAAAATTATATATAATATAACTCTCCCATGGGGTACACCTTGTCGCGGTGGAAGGGCTTAGTACTTGGATGGTGTCTTAAGATTTATCTTAAATTTTTCTATTTATGATAAATCTTAAGGTGCTTGAAAGGGAAGCTAAGTACCCTTTCGCGTCGTCGGTGCCGTCAACGTGCCGCGGACGGCAAGCGTTTCGTTACCGCGTTTTCGCGTTGTAGTATTCTCGCGTCGTCGCGTTTTCGCGGAAATTTTGTCTTAATTATAAAAACTTCATAAGAATCAGTGATTAATTTGACAAATTCTATACATTTATTAATAATTAAATTTTTAAATAATTAAAAAAATGTTTGATAAATATCAAAGATTAGTTTACTGCTAATTAAGAAGATTTATATAAATACGGTTAAACATGTTTTTATCCCACAGTAGGTATTTTGTAAATTAAAAGATATAAATATGACAATGAATATAGAAAAATATTTATTTTATCTTTGAATATTACAGTATCTTTCGCGATTTAATAATTTATTTACTATCAATTTACTAAGTGTGTTATACAGCACTGGTGTTACCGGCATTTCGTGCTTTTAGCACGGAACAAAACCAGAAATTGTGCACATTGTACGTTACTCTCTGAGTACAGTTCATGGTCTTTGGCTTTGTAGTTCATGTCCATGTTTTCAATGTTCATAGAGGGAGTATCGCTTTCAGGGATCACTTAAAAGTGCCTAAAAGCAGACCATGACATCTCTCAGTCTTTTCTCTGCTCTCTGCATCAGCGATGTACCACTTGTGGAAGATTTGGCGGACTCGAAGAAAATTACTTGGCATACAGACATATAGTTGAGTGAGACACAGTTTATTAAAAGTTTTGTGATATTTAATAAATAATCGTGAGTTCGTATTCGTATAGTATATGATAAAAATGTGTGCTGTTGATGATTCAAAATAATTTTCTAAGAGAACATTTTTTCAGTTGACCATTGGCACACTTTTTTGTCTGTATGAGATACTTCATTGAGGCCTCGTTTGCCGCGCATGCGCGAAAAGCCTGATTCGCCTGCCTCTGCACACTCTGCACGTGGTTTTTCAAATAATCGCATAATCGTACATGTGGTTAAGTCATCTGGCAGCATGGGCATAGTTTAAATTGCGCGGTGCCATTAACAGAAGAAGAAGAAGAAGAAGAAGTACATGTGGTTGCATGTGGGCACCGCGTCTTGTGTGATAAAAGAGTAAAATAAAAAGATACAATGTTAGTTGCAAAATTGTCAAGTTTCTTTGAGCGAAATGAGAAGTATAAGCAAAGATTTTCTTCCGAAGTAAATATTATTTTTATAATATTTTTTAACGTTATATTTAATCGTGTTTGTCTCTTTCAAAATAATTAATACTAATTATAATCTAGTTCAAATTATTATTCATCTTTATTATCAGAATTATATCCATATTATATAATTATATATTAATAATAATTTGAATTAGATTATAATTATTATAAATTTGAAAGAGACGGTTAAATATAACCCTAACAACACACGTGTTCAAAAGATATCCAGAGATCATCGAGAAAACATCCAGAGGATATAAAATATCCTTTGGCTGTTCTTTAGATATTCTATAGACGTCTTTTGGACATATGTGTTGTTAGGGAACTGTGACGACACATTATGTAAAATTAATATGTATTCAATTTCTTCTTTATTTCTTTAGGGATCCCAACAACTCGAGGATCACAGAATTTTAGAAATATTATGTGAATTTTTAATGCAGCCAGAGTGTACAGAAGATGTTGCTGACTGTTTTCCAGAATTTTTACCAGCACTTGTTTCATTGGCGATATCTACAAGTGATAGAAGTATACAGTCTGCACTAATCGACAAGGATATTGTTCATAGATTAAATTGCGTTATATTAGGAAAATTGCTTTTAGCTAATCAAGATTTACTAAAAACGTATGTACATTCTTGATATATATTTATTTTGTGAATTGTGTATAATTTTTTATATACAATCAACTTTTTATATTAGGAAATCTAATTTATATAACATTTTGCTGTTTTATTCATTTATATATTTTATTCATACAAGATTGACAAGTAATTGATTTTTGACATTGTTGAAATTTTTTAAATTTAATTTAGTTTTAATAAACTTTATTGACAATGTGATATGTGCATGTATGTATATATATACATACACAGGGTGGTCCCGAATGTTCCAGCCAGACTTTGAGATCTTATAGGAAATTTAATTCTGAACAAAAAATTTCCTATAAACATGAGTCGGAAAATGCTTCCTTAAGAAGTAAAATAAAAGTTAGTTAAAAAAAAAATTATTTTATTTTCATAAAAGAAAAAGATTTTTATTTTTTATTTTTATCATTTTTTTCAAGAAATTTATGTAGTTTCAATTTTTTTTTATTTCATTTTCTTTTCACCTTTTGTTCTTCCTTCATCAGAGGTTTTTGAGCGATAACTTCTTAAGGAAGCATTTTTTGACCCATGTTTATACGCAATTTTTTGTTCAGAATTAAATTTCCTATAAGATCTCAAAGTCTGGTTGGGACATTCGGGGCCACCCTGTATATGATTTAAATATATATGAAATATATATAAATATATTAATATAAATATTTTTCTTGCTAATAATAGAAAATATAAATTATTAAATTTATCTTTTTGCATATAGTACTAAGATTCTTTTCACTAATATATTATAATATTTTGTTATTTCAGATTTGTTTTACACTATTTTGATGTTAATCCAGCACCATTTGAGTTTCACGATACAAACTCTTCTGAAACGGTTACACCTGCAAAAAGGCGAAATACAAAAAAATTATCATATAATGTCTCTACAGTATCTGAATATGATATTGTTATTGCGTGTTATAACATTTTACAGTCTGCTGTTAGCCATTTTAAACATAAATGGAATTGGTCCAAATTTTATAAATATGTAACAAATGCAGATGATAGAGTAAAATGGTAGGAACATTGCAGTGAATTTACTAATAGCAGTTTTGACTTGTTAGAAAGAATAATCAATTTTATAATAACAAAAAAATTTTAATTATCTGTTTTTGAAAACAAAAAATTTTTTCTAGGGCTGCCTTAAAATGCATAGCGATAGTTTTGAACATGTCTGAATTAACAAAATTGTTATGTGCACAAGCATTTATTCCAAATTTTGAAAAATTTCTGACTGATTATGAAGACAAGAAGATAGATAATAGAATTGCTTGTGCAAGCTTTGAATCGATGGAAAATATAGTTAAAAATATCTCATCTATCATATCAGTTAGTGGCATCTTATTACCTACTCTTGGGAATAATCAAAGCTCTCATAATTTAGTTCCAGTCCCATCTATGATGAAAAATATACAAAGTTTGGCCATGGCTATTGGTTCCAGAAAATGTATCTGCTTGCAAGGTCCAGTGGGCTGTGGTAAAACAGCTTTAGTAGAGTATTTAGCCAAAATCACTGGACACGACATGTCAAACTTTGTCAAAGTGCAGTTAGGCGATCAGACTGACTCGAAGATGTTACTGGGGATGTACAAGTGTACTGATGTACCTGGTGAATTTGTTTGGCAACCGGGTGTACTCACACAAGCGGTTATTGCTGGCAAATGGTTGTTATTAGAAGACATAGATAGCGCTGCTCTGGACATAATCAGCGTCCTGAGCAATTTGATGGAAACAGGAACACTTTGTGTACCTGGCTATCGCGATACCGTTTATGCTAATAGTAGATTTCAATTATTTGTCACTCGGCGATTGATGATATCTACTACAGGCATTCAAAAGCATGTCACAGGATCTTTGAGTTTATTACAAAAACATTGGCTCTGTCTAAATATGGAATCTCTATCCAAGGATGAATTAGTGACTGTAGTCGGAACATTATTTCCAAAACTGACCACTATTGCTACTAGAATAGTAGATGTGTTCTTGTTGTTTTCTGTAGGACATCATGATAATGAAAATGATACAAATAATATTATAACATTATTAAAGATTGGACGACAGACATCAACACGAGATTTATTAAAATGGTGTTCCAGAGCTATCGTCGATTTTGATGTATCATCGCCAAATACTGCATTAAAAATATATCAGGATGCCTTGGATATCTTTTGCTATTCGGTATCTGATAAAAGTATGTTTTTATCTTATTTTTTTAAAGTATGTTATAAAGTATGTTAAGTATGTTATTTCTTTTTTTTTCTTTATAATGTGACATTAAGAGAATTAGTTAAAGAAGATTTTATTTATATTATTGATGATTTTTTTATAGGCCAACGATTAAACTTGGCCAAGATGGTGGCTGGCAAGCTCGGTATTGTAGAAACTAAAGCAGAGTTCTTCTGCGACTTGCATAAACCTATCATAGATTTGCGTTCCAATGTTCTGATAGCGGGTAGAGCGCAATTGCCTCGCAAGAAAGCACAAAATTTTCAGAGAATGCATATAGAAAATATTAATTTCTCGTTTACAAGACTTTCTGCATGTTTATTAGAACGCATAGCTAGCTGCATCATGCAAAAAGAGCCTGTCCTCCTCGTCGGTGAGACGGGTACTGGAAAAACGAGTGCAGTACAATATTTGGCTAAGAGCACTAATCACAAGTTGACAATTATAAATATGAATCAGCAGAGTGACAGTATCGATTTATTAGGTGGCTACAAACCGGTAGATTTAAAATTCCTAGTCTCACCTGTTCTAAATGAATTCAACGATTTGTTTGATATTTATTTTAAGAAAGAACCAAACAAGAAATGGTTGGAGAACTTATTTCTGAGTTATAAACAGGAGAATTGGAATCGTGTTCTTGCTTACATGTTTCGAGCTACGCACGTTGGCGTAACAAAACAGACGGAAAAGCTAAAAGAGTTACTGGCACTTAAAGATAAACCAAGCATCGAGCTGTATGAAAAGAAACGCAAGAATCTAGATATGCTAAAACGATGGAAGAACATACGGAATAAACTTAATAAACTGAAAAGTCAAGTGAAGAGTCATTTTGCATTCTCTTTTATGGAAGGAAGTTTGATCAAAGCTTTGCGAAATGGTGATTGGGTTCTCTTAGATGAAATAAATCTTGCGAGTGCGGAGACATTGGAATGTCTTTCCAGTTTGCTGGAAAATTCTTCAGAGCCGCTGTTATACGAACATGGTGAGGGTGAGCTTGTGAAGAAACATCCTGACTTCACAGTGTTTGCCTGTATGAATCCAGCCACAGATGTCGGTAAGAAAGATCTACCGATTGGTTTGAGGAACAGATTTACTGAGTTCTATATCGACGAGCTAACTGCACGACCGGATCTCCGATTACTTGTGAACTCTTATCTGAAAACTCTGGATATACCTGTGAAAATGCACGAGGAGATCGTGAAATTCTATTTGAATGTAAGAAAAGAAGCTACGAATACATTATTCGACGGTACGGCGCATAAGCCGCATTACAGTCTTAGAACTCTATGTCGCGCATTGTATATTTCTGCATCGAATCCCTGTAGCAATCTCCAGAGATCTCTGTACGAAGCTTTCTCTCTAAGTTTTTTGACACAGTTAGATTACAATTCGTATCCAATCGTGCAGGAAATGATCACGAAAGCTATCTTGCATAATCAGAATGCCAAAGCCTTCCTTGGCAATCGCATACCGAAGCTAAAGTGCAGTCCGGATGAACAATATATATATATCGAAGGATATTGGATTCTTCAAGGAAGTTTGACGCCTGAAGTACCTAGTAATTACATATTGACTGATTCTATCAGAAAAAATTTGAAAGATTTGGTGAGAGCAGTGTCGATTGGGAAAATCCCAGTTTTATTACAAGGCGATACATCAGTAGGAAAGACTAGCTTGATTACTTATCTTGCGAAGATTACAGGACATGTTTGTGTTCGAATAAACAATCATGAACATACAGATTTAGAGGAGTATGTCGGAAATTATATCGCGGACGAAACTGGTAAACTGGTGTTCAAAGAAGGTATTCTAGTTGATGCGATGCGTAAAGGATATTGGATTATCTTGGACGAGTTAAATTTAGCCCCAAGCGACGTCCTGGAAGCTTTAAATCGAGTCCTCGATGACAATAGGGAACTCTTTATACCCGAAACGCAACAAGTCGTGAAAGCGCACAAACACTTTATGCTATTCGCGACACAAAATCCTCCTGGACTTTACGGTGGCCGAAAAGTTCTGTCTCGAGCGTTCAGAAATCGATTCGTAGAATTACATTTCGATGAAATACCACCGAATGAATTACAGATAATACTTCACAAAAGATGCGATATGCCCGAATCATATTGCAAACAAGTAATTGACGTAATGATGGAGCTTCAAATAAGACGTAAGAGTACAGCGGCTTTCGCTGGTAAAAAGGGATTTATAACTTTGCGAGATCTGTTCCGTTGGGGCGAGAGGTATAGATTAGCAGATGTAGGCAACACATTTTACGATTGGAATCAACATATGGCGGATGAGGGTTACCTCGTTCTAGCAGCTAAAGTCCGCCGTGCGGAGGAAGCGGACCAAATAAGACAAGTGATAAAAAAGCATCTGAAGAGAGACGTGGATCCTAATAATTTGTTTACACTGAATGACAAAACTTCGCTTGTGACAAGACACATTTTGGAGAAGATCTTGAACAACAAGATCCCAGGCTTCGAGCACATCGTGTGGACTTATCATATGCGTAGAATGGCGGTATTGGTAAAGAAATCATGCCAATTCAAGGAACCGGTGCTTTTAGTCGGAGAGACCGGTGGAGGCAAAACTACTGTCTGCCAATTGATCGCCGCTATCAACGGTCAAACTATGCGCAGCGTCAATTGTCACATGCATACCGAGTCATCCGATTTCTTGGGAAATTTACGACCAGTTCGAGAGCGTGCTGAAGGTGACAAGAGACTTTTCGAGTGGGTGGACGGTTCTGTAATAAATGCCATGCGTAACGGCGATCTGTTTTTAGCCGATGAGATCTCATTGGCCGATGATAGCGTTTTGGAGCGATTAAATTCATTGCTGGGTAAGTATAAACCGCGAATTTATTGATAAAAACTTGAAAATAACAAGAAAGAACATAAAATTTAATTCATTTTATTATTACGAAATTTATTTCTTAATTTTTTTATGTTATAGAACCGGAACGTAGTCTTTTATTGCCCGAAAGGGGAATCGAGGCTTCACATGGTGAAGGAAATGCCGTGATTGTGGCAGATGAAAAATTTGTATTTATTGGCACGATGAATCCTGGTGGTGATTACGGTAAGAAGGAACTCTCACCTGCTTTGCGGAATCGCTTCACCGAGGTGTGGTGCGAAGGATGTATGGCAAGGGACGATTGGTGCGACATAATAGTGCACAATCTTCGCATCGATTCGCAATCGACGAAAGAATCCGTCGCTACTGCGATATTGAAATTCACCGAATGGTTACACATGACTGAAGTGGGCAAAAAGTTTATTGTGACCATACGAGATGTACTTACTTGGGTCGATTTCATAAACACGTGCACTCAGTGTGATGCACTCGTGTCAAAATTAACGGTCGAAGAAGCATATTATCACGGTGCTTGCCTTACGTATATCGATAGCCTCGGATCTGGTTGCACAGGATCGGAGAGGTGAGCGTTATATTTGGCAATTAATATTAATTTGGCATATGAAAATTTTGGATGAATTTAATTTGTTAAATCTTACAAACAAGAAATTACATAAAGAATTTAATTTATTAAGATAAATTTTATCAAATTAAATTATCTATTAATTTTACTTATTTACTTATTTTACTTTATTAATTTTATTTATTAATTTATTAATTTTACATCGATAGATATATAAATTCTATTGAGATATATCGCGTTTAACATAACACTCATCTACTTGATGCAACAAAGAATTCAATATCTAATAATTAACTTTTATTTATTGTTTAGTACCAGCAAATTAAGAGACTTTGCAGAGGCAGCTCTCCGATTTATTAGATTAGAGGTTAAAAATATAAGATCTGATCTTAATGTGGAAACTTCTCGGGTGAACGAAGTTGTTATAGATACTTCAGATGTATTTGGCATATCACCGTTTTATATTAAGAAAAGTTTATCCTCTTCCGAAAATTATGCTTTTACATTTACAACTCCTGTTACAAAGCTGAATACGCTGAAACTATTAAGAGCATTGCAGTTAAACAAACCGATCTTGCTGGAAGGAAGTCCAGGTGTTGGAAAAACCAGTCTGGTTTCCGCACTCGCCAAAGCCGCAGGACAAACTTTGCTTAGAATCAATTTAAGTGACCAAACGGTATGTGTCATAAAAGCGATACAGGAGCATTTCAGCATCGTCATCAAAGTAATACATATTGTTTTGAAAATTAATATAAATGAAATTTTTTATAGGATGTATCCGATTTGTTCGGCACCGATCTTCCTGTAGAAGGTGGAGAAGGCGGCGAATTTGCATGGCGAGATGGGCCGTTTTTGCGAGCTTTACGAGCTGGATATTGGATCTTGCTCGATGAATTAAATCTAGCCTCACAGTCGGTCTTAGAAGGCCTTAACGCCTGTTTCGATCACAGAGGAGAGATATATATCCCTGAACTAGGGAAGACGTTCTCGGTCAAACCTGGCACAAGATTGTTTGGTTGTCAAAATCCCTTACGGCAGGGCGGAGCTAGACGAGGATTACCGAAATCCTTTTTAAATAGATTTACTCAGGTATTATTTACAGAATTTGATAGAATATTGTCAAAGTATAACTTCTGTATTCTAAGATTATTACTTTTGCAGGTTTCTATAGAAGCATTAATGGAGGATGACTTAAAGTTTATAATCGGTGTACAATTTCCACAACTTCCTACGCACTTGATCAATGATATGGTACAGTTTAATAGTAAATTAGCGTCGGAAATTGGTGTTGTGTGGGGACATGCCGGATCCCCGTGGGAAATGAATCTGCGAGATATCACTCGATGGTGTGAAATGACTATTAAAGCTGCTTCTAATAAATTTCGTAACGATAAACAGTATTTTAATCCGAGTGATAGTGTGGAACTTATTTATGTTAATAGAATGAGGACTAATGAAGATCGGCAAAAGGTAAGCTCATCGATATTATAAGATCGCGAATTAAAATTACGTAGAATTGTCTATTTAATATTATAGAGTATTTATATTATGAATTTATTTTACAGATTTATCATATATATCAAGAAATGTTTTCATCCGAAAAATATCCACTCCCACCTAATCAGCTGCCGATGCACATCACGGCAGATGAAATTTTCGTCGGTGATATGATGCTAAACCGGAAAAATTGTTACGCAGACGAGGACTGTAATTTGTTAGTGCTCAGAGATCAGAAAACGATATTAAAAAGCCTCATGCAATGCGTTAAGATGAATTGGATGTCTATACTTGTATGTATATATTTATTTATTATATTGTTTTATATATGTCTTCTATGATAATTTTTCATTTTTAATTAATCATATTTTAATCTTAATATTACAGGTTGGTCCTTCAGGTTGTGGGAAGAGCAATGTAGTTCGCTTACTTGCTACTTTGACGGGTCAGAAGCTGAGATCGATAGCTATGAATTCGGCGATGGACACAACAGAAATACTAGGTGGTTTCGAACAGGTAAGTGACAACGTGAGACAGATAATTAAATATTTTCTTAACAATGTGTTTAGAATATCTTGAAAAATAATAATAAGGCTATGACATTTTCAGTTTATATTAATGTAAAATGGTATAATTTTTTCGCTTTTATTTCCGAAGAAAATATAAAATAGTTTTTTGATGACATATATATATATATATATATATATATATATATATATATATATATTTCATCATATTTCATATATTTTAAACACATTTCGTTGATATTTGAAAGAAAAAATTGTTTGATAGGAAATTAAACATATGGTTACATACATTACACAGACCTTTATTTCAAATACGTGAACAGGTTTATATTATTATTACATTTAAATATAATGTATGCTCTCTTTTTTCTTCCTATGACAAATATTCATGATTTATGGATTATATAACTTATATAATGTCGCATACTTTGCTGTCAATTTGCGACAATAATTTCTCAGACGCCATTTGCTTAGACATATTCTTAATAATACTTTTCCCTGACGAGATTATTTAGAATAATTCGCTCCAGTGCTTTAGCTTTCAAGCACGCTTTCAAAAAAATTAATTTTTACAAAATTTGAAACAAAATGAAGGGTTGAAAATAAATCAAATTATATAAATCTAATTCTAAAATATCGCGTTATAAAATTTTAAATACATAGATTCTACACACAGGGATTAATATAATTAATATATATTTGTATATTTCTCGATAAATTTCAAATTATCCAGATACGATTTCAAATTTTACATTCAATCCGTTAAGAAATAAAAATATCAATCGTAGAATATGTGCGTATATATGTCAATTAATAATAAGATAATATTGTTGCAAAAATAAGTTGTATAGTGCATCAAATACATATTTAATTAATGACAGCATCGAAATTTTCGACTCAGATATATTTTTTTGTATATTTTTTTATACAATTGAATGATTTTTATTATTTTCTCTTTACTTTTTTTAAAATTATAATTGCCATTTATGGATATATAGGCCATTTTTGTTTTCTTGATATTGCATATATAAAATTACAATAAAAAATTTCGGTCTTATTCTGATATTTTCTCTTACGCGTACTTTATATTAATTTATATTAGACATTTATTACATGTGAGAGAGATATATTTAAGAAGAAAGTGTGATAGTTACAGTAGTTAATTGACCATTTAAGCAGCATCTTTTTGCGCCGCTTTTACACGTTTGCAGCAAATAAAGAAAGATATGATTAAGTGAGGAATTAATTTCACGTAATTTTAATAAACACATAAATCACATATTATGCTGCATACTCATTTTCTAAATACGTGACATTACATTGATATGCATTTCGCTGTACAATAAAAAATATTCTATACTAACACTTTTAATATATTTTTAATATATATATTAGATATATTTTAATGAGGCCAATAATATGCATATTTTTGGTAATTTCATAGAAATTTCGATAATTTCGATTTTTTTATCGGACTTATAAACAATATAAAAAGACATTAAGAAAGATCCGTTAAGCAAATTTTATATTTGCATTTTATTCTTCATATATGTATGTATGTATGCATATATATATATATATATATATATATATATATATGTATATATTAAAATATTATAGTTAAAAAATTTAATTCAAAAAATGATCATGATTTGCCAACTGATAATAATGACATAGCTTGATATGAATAATTTTTACAATTTTTTTTATACAAAATCATTTTTCTTCGTTATTTATCCTCATAATTAGGATTATATTTTTAATTTGTATGAAATATTATATATCTCTGTGTGTTTTAAAAAGTTACGTGACATAAAAATTTAAATCATTTGATCGAACTTTGAGCATTTTTAAGTTCGATTAATTGAGCTTCAATTTTTTAATATAATATTACAGTTTTTTCTCATTTATTTCTTGGTTTTTTAAAGTCTGCTATTTTTTAAATGCATTCTTCAATATTACATTAATCTATTCAATATCATAAATTCTTAACCAGGATTATATGAAATATGTTTGAGCTTTTCTTTATTGCAAAAGTAAGATGAGCAAAAGTTTGAAATATATCGGGAGGATATATTGCTTTTCTCTTAGTTTAGTTAAAAATATAACAATAATTTAGCATAATTTTATTTTGCTATAAATGTTGAATTCACTTTAAGAATAATTAATACGAATTTTAAAAAGGATTAAATACATATTGTATAGAATTTTTAACAGTAAATGAAATATTGTGTAAAAATTGCCTACATTTGCAAGAGCTATGATTATTACCAGTTTTGCAAAATAAATGAATAAAATTAATACTTATATTATCTCTGTTTTACTCTTAGTCGCTATTTTTCATTGGCAAAGTAAAATAATTGATGTGTAATGCGCAATTAAATCAGCGAAACGCTGATGCAACGTGCAGTTGCAACGAGTGCAGTCTCTAAAATCTCGCATAGAAAATATATATGTAATTCAATATATATAATATATGTTCTCGAGAAAAGATTGAGTCCCCAGATGAAAAAGCTCACACGAGTGCGGTTTTATGAAAAATTGCACATATCTGATTATATACATCTAGTAAGTGTACCTAAACGCGAAGAAAGGGATTATAAATCTTTTTCCTTTAATTACATTTTCTAATGTGCTGTTTTTCTCTTCTGCTTTGTCAGAAAATCACTTTGTTTCTTCAGTTTTGTTAGGTTTTTACAAAAAGTATAGCTGAAAAAAGCAGATTATAAATTATACACGATTATCCAACATTTCTAAGATATTACACATATCACCTGCTTTCTCTATTTCTATAAACATAATATATATATATCTTCTTTATATAAATCTATTAGTGATATTACACAGGACGAAGACTAGGACGTTCATAAGCAATCACAGATATATTTAGATGATGCCCAGTTGATTAAATCTTTTTTTTTTGCGATTTATCGCATTCTTTTTTTTTACTTATTATTAATTAATTTTGTCATAATATGCGTAATTAATAAAAAATAATTATATTCTAATTTTTATATTAAATTATATGCGGAATTATGATGAACGGTTTATAATAAACAAACATACTTTCATCGTTTAATGTATATGTACAAGATGTCCCAAAGAATGTACTATTGATAAATTGATGTAAAATTAGAATTTTACTGCCAATTGTATAAAGTAAATTTTATTTTTTATTATCTATATTAATTTTCAATTAATTAATAATTATAGATAGATATACTATAATACTGTTTACAATCTAAAATTTTATTATTTCTGAGACATCTTGCGAGCAATTAAATATATTGTTTCATATCATAAATTTGTGATAAATGGAATGTACATCTTTGAAATACGACAAAATGATTATTCTTCAGGTATAAAAGCAATGATGTTTAGTAATTATTTCGACTGACAATTTTGGACGTGAGATTTGTTTGAAATTGACATGGACGAATAAGTACGAATTTTGTGAAAAAAGTCAGTCTGTCGATATTTTTAAGTCTAGTGTACGTGTATCTCATAAAAGTATAAGTAAATGTATACATCAAGTCTTCGATAATTTTTTAAATTCAAGATACGTTATCCTTGTGATTAATTTTATACTGCACGACAGCTTGGTATCTCGCTTTTTAACATCACAGAAAATCATTTTATTCATTACAACCTAGTTTACAATTTGATTTGAATTAAATTGAATAATTTTATAATGGAGTTCCATCTTGGCTCTTTGATATTACTATTAAAACCTATAAAAACGAAAAGTTTTTCAGACGTTTTAAGAGCAATCGTAAATATAAATATTTGTATGCCTTCGCTGATATATACATATATACGTATATTAATTGCTCTCTCTCGTCTTTAAAAAATATTTAGATGATGCAATATTTATAGTATATGATTCATTTGATTTCGGCTTTATCGACAATATACATATAATAATCTGATTAGAATATATAAAGCTCCAGGAGAGGATTTTATAGGAAGGTTTTTTCCCGAAAAATTTATTTTTATCATTTTTGCGATTATTTTTTCTTACATTGTAGCCAATTAACGTCATCAATTAACGTTATCGTCTTCTGATGCGTTGTTAATTTTTTTACAATTGATTTGCTCGTTTATTCGCTGGGCAAGTCGCTACTTGTCGGACTCATTTGGAGATCGTTCAATTCTGCAGGTGGGGGCAGCAGAAGGCTCGGTCTTCTAGACAATTCCTCTTCGTAAAGACTGGAGGTGCTCTTCGGTCTTGAAGTCAAACTCCAGGGATCGGGTACCGCGATAGAATTGTCCTGTATAATAATATATTATACATTTGTATATTTTCTTACAAACTTAATTAGTAAAATATTCATATGATAAGAGTCATAAAAAATCAATATTTTCGAGAAGACAAAGGAAAATTAGTCTTAAAGTCTATTAAGAATCAATCTTCAAGTGATTAAGACGATTGTCTTTGAGTCGTTAAGGATCGGTCTTTAAGTCATTAGGAACGAATTCCGCGATAAGTTTCGACGATCATTCGGCCGAGTGTCCTACCACCAGTAAGTGTTTGGCAGTCGGTGGCAGGGGTGGTTTTAGGAGCGCCACATCGGTAAGATTGCATCCTGACGGCGCAACTGGCGCCGCTAAGGGTGGACCCGGCGGTGAGGGTAGATTCATCGGCGCCCCGTATCGAGGTAACGTGACATTTTGTATCGGACTAGTGGCGGTGGATCCAAGGATCCATCGAGCTATGCTTTCACAGCAGCCGCAACACACGTCCGACATGCCCTGTCGTAACCCCCGATGTAGGGCGAGAAACAGAGCCGGGTTTACGAAGGCATGTACATATGCAATGTGCAGAGTCACCTGGTATAACAAACGAAACCGCGAAACCCGGTGATTTAGATGCAGCATGTAATAGCACGATATAAATTGTACATGTAAATCTACAAACACCGATACGCAAAATTAGATAGCAACGTAGTCATAAATTGGAAAGAGAAGTAATAGGAGCAAAAAATCTAATATTTAACCTGCAGTTAAAAAAAAAGAATTATATAGCAAAATTAATTACGAGAAAATGAAAAATATGTTTATTTATATGAATTTCTCTCCAGATAAATAAAAATTGTATTTAAAAGAGATTTTTTAAGTGCGATTTTATCAAATTTGTACGTGAAAAAATATTGAAATGTTTATCTAACTAGGAAATAAATAAAAATCATCTCTTTTTCTTAAATTTCTTCACTGCATCACGGTTTTTGCTTTGCCAAAATATCGGGAATCTATTGAGAAGATTAAATGCAGCTATTTCGTGCATAGCTGCTACGACGGTGCATCAGCAAAACTGCTGCGTTTTTTCGATGCCTTTGAGTTTTTCGACGCGCATTTGCTTTTTTCGAAAATTTATATTCTCGCAGGAAGAAATTCTCAGCTCGTAGCTGCGAAGTCGCTCGATCGACTCACGATTCACGATCAGCTATATTAGTACGATCGAACAAGAGTTCCACTTTCACGCTTCGTGTCTCTTCGCGAACTTTTCGATTTATTTCTATCGCAATTTTGTATCGAAAATCAAATCAATGTTATTCCACAAGCTTCATAATATTTCACACGTGTTTCAGATACCGTGCCATGTCAAATTATAATGATGAATGCATAACATTAATATTTGAATTGAAAAAAAAAAGATATTTATTTATAGATGTTGTGCTCTTCTAGATTAGATTATTAACATTGATATTTGCAATTTATTTCAATCCCGTGATTGTCGCTACTTGAGACTTGTCAATTAGATTTATTTATATCTATGATGCATCCGTTGCCCTAAGCTGCTAATATATTAATTATTGATTATTTCCGAAGAACCTATCTTCTGAAATTAATAATTATTATTTGCGAAATAAAAAAAACGTGATATTAACTGTTATTTTTTTTTTACGAAAATAAAATATTTTGCGCGAAACATTTGTATGCGGTACGCGTATTAATATTCGCATGCTGATATCGCAAGTGCGCACAATATACTATTACGATTGACCGGGATATTTATGAAGCAAATATCGATAGTGTCTAAATTTCGTAAAAGCCAACAGCAGATACAAACTTCCCATTATCTCATTCCGTCGATGCTCTATTCATTCTAATTACCTCGACACCCGTAGGATTGCCTATAACAGGATGGTGCACTAAGGTAACGAAAAACAATGGTCCCCAGAATATGACGTATGCTGCCGTTATGACCAGGAACATTTTCACCCTTTGCACGCCTTCGCGTTCCATTCTTCTAAGGTAATTCCTCATTTTCCGATGCTCCTCGACGGCGCCTGTCCTCTAAAATATATCGAGAGCGTCATTTCTGAATAATTTGAAAACTTTATGGATCTCTGATACTCGTCTGCCGCTTTCATTGTCACATTGCTTGACACATACAATTGTTTTATTTGCATTTGTAAGTGTAAAAAGCAACGAGTGTATCCAAAAACTAATTTAGAGATGATAATTATATTTAAAGTAAAAAAAAATTATATAAATTATGGATCGATAAAAGTGACGATTTAGCAGAAAATTTCTATTTTTTTGAAAATTTAATTTTTAATACATGCAGAGATACACTTTATGCATGGAAAATTATTAATATAATGACTTACTTTCGGCGTCGTGCCGTTTCTCGTGTCAACCACACTGTCTTCGGTTGCAAGCGCATTAGTTGCACCCTGATGTCCACCTGTCACATTAACGAGCGTTGTGACAAGGCCAGCTACTCGTACCTGAGAGATAAACGCAGTTGTTTGAAAATAGAAAAGATTTATTAATGTTTTATCAAAATATATAAAACTCTTAAATAGAAAATATATAAAACTCTTAAATAGAAAATATATAAAACTCTTAAATAGAATCTTCTCGCAAAAATTTAAAATATATAAAAATCGTCCAAAATTGTATTCCAAGTTGATGTTATATTTTTATTAGTATATACATAAATTTTCTTATTGTTTCGTAATTTGATATACACTTTTATTAATGTAAGTTTCGATAGTTATACATAATAATATCTTGACTAATTATTTAATATATATGATTGATATTGTCGCTTACCGCTTCGACGTTAGCTTTCGTCAAATCCCTGTGCAATTTTCTCAAATGAAAAAGCGTGAGCGCCACGCAAATGATATTGATGACAATCCAGAGAACGTTGAGTATATAGTGACGAAAAGGGCCATGTATCAATGGGCAACTAGGCGTATTGTGCCCGCTCTCCGTGTTAGCCGCTAAAGCTCCGCTGAGAAACGTAGGCCCCAAATTTATCGTTATACTGGCGAACCAGATCATGAAAGTGCCAAAGAGCACGCACTGCAATGAAAAATCGTTAAAAAATTCGCGAAAAAGAACTTTCCCATTCGCGTGATATTTTTCTTGAGTTTTACGAATTTCGCAAACTTCTAACGTTTTGCGAATCGAATCTTACGAATTTTTCCTGGTAAAAAATTAAATTAAATTAAATTTAATTAAATTTAATTTAATTTAATTTAATAACGACTTTTTGGAGATTTTTACAAAGATAGAAATATGAATCTTGTTTTTAATATATATAAAAACATATGAAATGTAAATTATTATTGCTCTTACCTGTATTAATAAGATACAATGTACATGTATCGTGTTTCAGTTAAAACACTTGATGTTGTGCAAATAATTTTTGGCGAGCTCCGCAAATATTCAATCGAAGTTATTCTATTCAATTATTTGATCAACGCTAATAATTTGTATGAATTTATCTCCCATAAAGGTAAATTTAAATTTGCAAATTTAAATTAAATATCGATGCATCTGATCCATCTTTTACAACACAATAGGGTATTTTTATACAATTATAAATTTGTAATGTAAAACAAAAATATTTTCAGAAATTATTAATTGTTACGGTATTATGTAAATTTTTAGAAAACATAAATTATTATATTTATTTATTTAATTAAACGTAATTTAATTTAGAATATTTTAATTGACTTGTTTAACGAGTTTACAATAATCCCAATGTCTTCGTTTACTTTAAAGTGGTTCGTGAAATCCTCTAATCCGCAATTGATCCACCATTTTAAAGAACAGAGATCAGTTTATCGGAGCCAAGTTTTGATCAAATACTGTTACAATCGTTCATCGGAAAATACAAGAAATGTTATTTTAAATATTCTTTGTTTTCGCAATTGAAAATATTGCAATGAATTTCCATTTTGTTACAACTTTTAATATTTCAATATTGAATATCTTGATAATTACATTGCAAGTAAAAATTCTTATAAATTTTATTTTAAATTAAATAATAAGTAAGTTTTTTATTATTAGCTTAAAATTTATTTATAACATGATAACTTGTTTTGTGAAAAACTATAATAAATTATACTGAAAAAAATTAGATTAAAATCTGAAGCTGAAAGACACAATATGGTTAATATAGTCGCGAAAATTATTCTGACGCTAAAAGCACAGTTATAATGTTCTTGCGTATATCGTAATAGGCATTTTACATGTTTAACTATCGTCATGTCATTAGAATTTTGTTGCTGCAAAAGCGAGTCGGCTATCGCTTGACGTGCAAATTATCGCGTTAAATTAATTTGGAACCGACTGCTATTACATGTGCCCAGGGAAGCCGAATCGTTGGGGAATTAATTGCACGAATTTAATGTCTCGAATCACTGTCATCGCATAAAATCTCTCATAAGATTTGCAAATTTTAGAAGCATATTTGATGAATTTGGAAATAAATGATTCTTTTATATGAAAATTCGCTATTCTTTCTCGCAATTTTCAAAATGAATTTATTGGTAGATAAATTGAAATAAAAAATTTCTTTTAAAGCAAAATTTGTTTTGTATCGAGTGAGAAATTAGGTAAAGATGTGGAATACTTTTTTAATAATTTACATTAAATTAAATTAGACAACACTTGCAAATTAAAACATTATTAATATATATTATATATTTGAATTTATTATAATTCAATATAAAGATCATTTTAAAGTTGATTAAAAAATTCATTATATTTTCTTTTACGAATGATTAATTCGTTAAACGGGCTTTTTATGTTTTTTATGTTTTTTTGCTAAGAACGTTAATGTCTTACTGCGACGGCGCTATTAATTTTCCTTGAAAAATTTAATTCATCTCGACAGTCCGCATTGCGTGATGCAGACAGTTTGCACCGCAATCAGTCACCACTAAATTCGTCATCGCAATGCTGCGGTTAGGTGGAAATCTCTCTCATTTCGAATGCGAAATGAACGACCGTCGTTAGTCAAAATCACGCGGTTTGTTCATAGATCAATATTTTTGATCAATTGCTTGCCATAAGCAAACCGATATAAATTGACTTGAGCATACGTAAGAATATACTTAACAGCGATATATTTTATTAAGTGAATATTTATAATTATAGAGATTTGACACAATTATTCAATTAATTATAAAAGTACAATTGCATAAGTATTTCAATTTCAATATTGACGGACTCAACAACATAGACAACATAGAATCAACACATACAATAAAAATGCGAATGTTGTAACAGATAAAAGTTAAATATGCGATTTAAATTTTTTTGAAAATGGAGGATTAAAGGTTACAAGTTAAAGTTGTGAATTAAAAGAATTCGAGACTAAAAATTGCAACAATAAGTACATATGTTTAAATTTGACTTAGAAATTGGGAATTTACGAACATATGCGAATTGACATTTTAAATTAAATGTTGCAATATATCTAATCATGCGAATGGAAATCACATCAAATGCGCGCGTTATAATTTTTACCTGGGGCGAGTCCATCAGTAGAGGAGCGGCGAGATCTGCCTCCTCGTCGCTCTCTGGAAATACCGGGCTGTCGTTTAACACGGTTGTTAGCATATTTACCGTGGAAACGGTCACCAGCAACAGAAAGGCAGTCTCGACTAGGGAGCACTTGTTAACTGGCTGACAATTCAATATACTAGAGCCAAGAGGCAACAATATAGCGGCTCTTGCGCAGTCTACCATGGCTTGGTGGAATAACAATCCCTGGGACCATCTGTAAATCCCAGGATAAATGTGCGTCAATATGTTCGTTCGTTATTCTGTCCGTCTCGCTGTATCTTTGCCTATTTCGCTATTTTTAGACTCAACATTGCATTCTATAAAATAACGTCTTATTTGCAATTAAATTATATTTAAAGTAAAAATTTATAAATATACAAGCAATATATTTCTAAAGTGTGATACATCGAACTTTATAAAATTTTATCAAATTTTATCTTTTTTAAATATATGTTTATTGTGTTCCATATCAATATTTATGCCGAATATCGACTAAACTAAAAATTCTGTTGAAACAACTTTTACTTGAAGTTTATTTAAATTTGATTGGGAAAATATTTTATTTGCTTGTAATTTCTAAAAAAAAATATTTATTTTCTCTCAACGTTCTTGTTAATAAAATTTTATAGATTGATAACACAATATGTTTTATACCACATTTAGGAACATTGCAATTTCTCATGTATCATATTTCAGATATTTTAGTATATCGAGAGATAGACTATATATATTTTGTTTATTCGCAAATACATAGTAAGTATATAATATACAAAATTTTAATATAATATATAATATATAATATATAATATATTTTATAATATAATATATTTTATATAATATACAAAATTTTCGATAAACAGGTATGGAATTTATCTGACCACCTGGCCACAATATACTTTCCAAATTAAAGTTTAACAAGTTTCAGAAAGATACTCTTTCACCAGATTAAAGTAAATTCATGTACGTGACATGGATAAAGAGAGAGAGAGTTGACTTAACTCAATTTTATCCGAAAATTTCAAAAGTTATATTACAGTGAATTCGCTTTATTTTATCGTAATGCTTCTATACGAATTTATACGAATAGCTGAACATGATAGATTTGAATATTACGAAAATATAAAGGGTATAATAGAGCAATGCACATGCTCTACATGCGTTCAATGTTGCGAACCTATGTTCTCTCCATTCGCAAAAAATCACGGTCTTATAACTTTTAACAACGTTGTACAAAATGCTCGCATGTCACGTCCAACAAAGCGGTTTTATTTAGCTAACATCGCTCGAATATCATAATGCGGGTATTTTTGGTGTTATTTCCGGATCGAAACACGATCGTAAAGCATCGTTCTTCGACGGATTATTATCGTACCTGCGCAGCTGTCGCTTCGCCAGTATTAGCGCCATGAGGATGATATTCGCCCCCATCCCCAATGCACCGAGGCTAAATATGACAGTGGCCTCGGTCATACCACCGGGATGACACTGGAACACCTTAGTGGCGTTGGACGTGACATTCCCGGAAGCGCCGATGCCGAACCTCAGATTAGCTCCGATCATCGCTACTGCTGAGCCTGCACAAGAGAAAATCACTCCATTTAATCACCTCTATCGAACGAATGTTTTTACGATGAATTGTTAGAGTTACAAAATACTTCGGAATTCTCATCTCAGGGTGCGAAAAAAAAAATGATTTGATTCATATACGAAATATTTAGCGCAAATATATCATGAAATCATAACATGAAATTATTAATATAGAGATATAGATATATAGATATACAGGTGTTGAGTAAAGATTATTCTTAATCAGTACAGCCTATAATTACGCAAAGTTATGTTAAGTGCAGACCAGGAATCTCCGCTGTTACTAGGAGTTGCGTTAAGAGCTATTATCAGTGAAGAGCGCGAGAATCTCAGGCATTTCCATCTTTCGCCAAATCTCGAGTTACCCATGCTTTCCAATTCGGTTACTCTAGTTAGGTCTTCATTATCTCCCGTGCTTTGCATGTAACTAGAGGTAACGAACGTTCGATCAATCGTATCAATGATTACAGAATAGTGAAAATGATCTCATGATTTTTATCGATTCAATTAGACTTTGATAGAAAACAAAATTGAAAATAATTTGATATGTACAGAGATGTAAATAATTGAGATGTATAGAGTAGGCCATATAATTTAGCTTTCCTGAAAATGTTTGTTGATGTGCACTTTAGGTGGTTTCAAAAATGATGTTGAATATAAAATTAAATAATACAATATTTTTGATGGATTAATCATTCATAGCTTGTGATACATTTCGTTTTATTTTTCATTCTACGAATAAAGCATGATTTTTACAAACAAATATTATTTCGCCGGCTTTTGATCAGTAGCAAATTTTAAAATGTCGAAATATATCCCATTAAATTGTTTTACGAAAAAGTTACGTTCACATTTCAGTTTGGATTTTAGTTTAAATTCATCGAACACAGTATCATTACATTTTCGAAAACAAGCGTGAAATATCCAGTCAGTTGAACGCGATATCGGTTTATTCTTTCGTCAGGATTCAGTTGCGTGCGCATTTTGCTGAAAGAGAGGTGAAGAAGCAAGAAAATAGAGGAGAAATTGAAAGGGCAAGCACATCCGAACTTTACAGATAGCGATATCTGAAATATACACAATGTGTGTCGGAACCATCATATTTTTCTTCACTTACAGATTTTTGATATTTTTTTATGTGCAGTCGATTGTTAGAAATATCACGATATGTAAAATTAAATTGTAAGAAAAAAAATCTTTTATATAATTAGCTTTTTTCAAGAACTAAGCTTCTATATTTTTAGTTTCTATTTTTTTTAGTTTAGTTTCTATATTTTTTTAAACAGATAAAAATATTTAGGTTACACGCGTATGATATGGATTAACGAAAATTTCAATCAAAGAGTTGAAGAAAAACTTGATCTTTTATCGTTCAATGAACATTCATCAATGTATATTTCAAGAGTTATTGCTTCAAAGCGCTTCAAGCGCAAGATTATATACCTTCTTTCCTGCCTTTAGGCAAAATCACTCGGTTCACGTTTACCAGAATAAATGCGAGCGCGCGTTGAGTTCGAAACGTTTGGTTGTTTTCGCGTATACACGACCCACATTCGAGACTCGTGACCCGTGTTACCCGAAAGAGATGCAGTTATTCGAGAAGTGTTAACCGAGAGAAAGAGAGAAAGAAGAGCAGAAGAGATGAAAAACAACTCCAACTTTATTCGACCTGTAAAAAGTCGGTCGCCGCGCCAGGTTTGTGCTCGGATAATTGTAGTACCTATCAATGTACAGCTAAATCAGCGAAATTAAGCGGCATCCGAACTAATTCGATTTCAGGTAGCTGCAGTTAATTGTGTTAGGAAGTACGAGAATAAAAAGAGAAAAGATTCCTGTCGCCTGTTGACGCGCGCGTCTCATCATGACTCGAAGCTTCGTCTACGATTATAAGATTTTCGTAATTTTAGTACCATTGAATCTCTCTCGAGAAACCTCCTCTCGCCAGTCTTTCTCTTGCATTTTTTTGCATTTTAGCAAGTCAATCATTTTGAGATGAAACTGTGAATATTGTTTTTAGGAGGGGCAAAAGTTTCGGGGCAAACTTTTTTATCGGTTTTACAGTATAAATTAAACTTTTAATGTAAAACTATTAATTAGCGTTAATGAGAAATTTAAATATGACCAAAGTTTTTCAATTTTATGATAATTTAAATATTTACGTGGCACTTTTTCAGTAATTATGCTACAAAAGTAACTGAAGTTACAAAATTGTTACAAATTAAGAGTAGATAAGCAATAGAGAATTATGGAGAGGATAAGGCAAATTTAATTTTTTAGTCATATTTTCTTTAATAATAAATTATAATTCGCTTATTTTGTTTATTCTTATATCTTATTCTTTTTCTTCTTTTGTTCTGTTTTATTTATTTTCTTATAAATACAGAAAAACCGAATATTTTCACGACTTTAGTTTCACGATTGTCAGTCGGCTTCGTCATGGATCTTTTGAAAGTTTCTTTCATCACTACTTTTTCAACTTCGGAACGATTGAAAGTTGCTTGGCAATCAGCCGTTGCGGGTCTTCTCTCTTGAAGAAATCGATCGCGATAAAAAGTTTCACTAGTCAAAGTCAAAAAGGAAAACCGCCCAAAAGTATATTACTACTGGTCTTTTTATATCCGTCGATTCCGATCGATTTTAAGCTGCCAGTGAATTGATTATGAATGTTATTATAGAATCAATAACTATCCTTGTTATAGATCAATTTTCATTGTGAAGTTCTTTACATTATCGTAAATCAAGAGAGATTTGAGGCAAAAAGCGAAAAAGTGCCTCTTAAACTTTTACTTTCAATCGAAGCAATTGCGCTCCGAAATAAAGTGCGGTCAATTTCGTTAATTAGTACATCAATTAAACTCATACCACAGAAAACTAAAGGAGAAATAATATTACTTCTTGCGTTCCAAAACAAGATCTCGAGAATCGATTTTAAGAATGGATTTTAAGGTGAAAATTTATAATAACGGATATAAAATTTCTGTCTAAAATAATCTGCTTAATTAGAAATTATAAGAATCGGTGTAAAATAACACGCCGTTGATAGAAATTCGGAGGGAAGAAATGTCTTCGATTAAATCGCGACGAGTAATTTGTGTTTTTCGCATTTTTCTTCTCGGCTGTCCCACGAATCGTAAATTTCCATCTGTTCAAGAGTTTTTTTGCCGAGCCACTTCCAGAAGGCGCCTGAAGGAAATCTCATGCATATTCACGCGGAGATGACATAATTCAATTTTAGGTCGCGGTACATCAGCACCGAGGCTCCCTTTAACTACCTCGCAATTAACCTGCTGATAATTCGTACCGCTGCGGATTAGTCTTTGCCGTCCAAACGTTCAAAATGGCTTTTCGCATGTTTCAAAACTTAAATGTGTATTCAGCTGGCTGCAAAACGAAGTTATCTCTCGCGGGAAAGTTTCTCCCCGCGGCGTTTTCCCATTTCGTCTTTGCGACTTTTACCATGGTTATTTCTGAGCAACGTGAAGGTACACGTGAGGTACAGGTGGTATGTTGAGATGGGATAGAAAAGAATTTAAAAGCAAAACGATTCATAAATTGCTCTACATCTACGAATTTTGTTCGTGAATAAAAAAAAAAGTATCGATATTTTTATTTTTAAATATTATACTCTTACATTTTCGAGATTTTATTTTTAATCTTTGATATAGAAGTGTGTAGTTGGAGGTACATTTTCAATCAAGTTATAGAGCGCTTCGTTAAGATTTTTTTTAGAATCAACGAATTATATCTTAGTTTTTATGAAAGATCGAAAAGATTTATAATATTTTATCAAAGTATACAATAATATAATAAATTCGTCTTAAGAATGATCTTTTTGCGAATATCAGAACTTTTTTTTTTACGAATTTCTGAACTATATGAATTAATTGTAAATTTGAGTATATCTGATTTTTTCTATAGACACCAAACAAAAAAAATTGTTTATAAACTATGCAGATTTAAAAATGTTGAAAGTATGACATTACTGAATAAATATCGTATAAAATGAAATATATAACGGAAGTTTAATAGTACCTAGTTTCGCTGTTGTTTGCATATGCAAATTTCGAACTAAAACTAAACTTTATAATATCTTAATCTTGATAGTATAAGACACCATACGTTTTAAATTTCTACGATGGCATCAGATTAAATAATTAAGAATAATTCATTATTTGCAATATTTTTATGGTTAGATATAAAAAGAATTTTATTCTCTTTTTTTATCTTATTTTATATAAAACTATAAAATCTTGCCCAATACTACTACTACCCAATGCTACCACATAGATGTCATTCGTATGCAAAGGGTTAATAAACACTTACGTGTGCAAATAGGATATTGGTAGCTGATACGCGTTTACAGAGATAAAGTGGGGCACGTGAATTCCGATAGACGCGAACGTAATAGGATTTAAAGCAATCCAATTAGTCAGACCTAAATAAATTCGTTAAATCTTGACGAGGTTCCAGCATCCTATCTTTTTTTTCGTCTCACTTACTGTTTTCTCACCTTCATTTTTTCTCTTTCTTTTTTAAAAACCTCAGTCAACCGTGAGATAACTCTTTCTTTCGCTTGAATGAAAACGAATAACGAACCGAATAATTCGTCTGGTCGATCGGAAATTCGAATTGGAGTACAATTTTTATTACGTAATAATTTTTATAGATTTTTTTATGTTACGTTTATTAATTCAATATTTTCGAATTATTTCATTGAAATTGTTGCTATTTATTTTTAATAAATGTAGAACAGACGAAGAAATATTTTCAGAATATTATTTCAAAATGTTGTAAAAGTTACTGAAGTTATCTTGGGATTCGGAGAGCAAAGGAATACATATTTATATGGATAACATTTTGTTTCTCATATCTTTAAATCGTAATCAGCTGTTTCCGTTCCTAAAGGTAACGATTTTACGATGTCTTAAATAACTTCGATTTGTAACTACAATATTGATGTATAACAACCGTTTTAATACGCGGAGAG